ACAAGTGCTTGCCATGGAATAACATGCCCATAAATCCACATGGCAACTGCATACAAATTTTTAATAACTGCTTTGACCGTTCTCGTCGCCAACAACACGTCGAAGTTCCCATGTCATCGATAAACACCACTGCTACAACATCCTGCATATCAGAAGACGAAGACGAAGCTGCTGACTACATTCAAAAATCGAGCAAAACCGCTCAATCTTTGTTCTAAGGGGGGAGGTGTTATGTTATAGGTTCTATTATTGTGTTACATACTATTTACTTTATATTATAAGTCCTCTATACTCCTATACTGTTATTCTTATATCACTTATTTACTTTAAAACTAAATTACATTGTTTACCTAGAAACCAAACTAATTAGATTGTAATATTTAAATACTAATGTTTACTGTTCCAAAGTTTACCATTCTTAATTGTATCTTAGAATAAGTTAACGATAAACACAAACAAGCATAATGTTATTCCCTTATCTTTACCCCTACCTCCTAGCTTCCCACGATCCTACACTATATAAACCAAGTCCTTCGATCCCACAACACAATTCTATTTCCAAACTCTCTGACTCAACTTCTATATTTTAAGTTAGTTTGTATTATAGTTAAATATATTAAATAAATTTATTTTTAAAAGAGTTTTTGTCTCTGCCACATAACAAAGGTCAATCCCGTCGTATTCGGCCTTAAGTTACGTTAAAATATCTAGTTGGTACAAAAACGATTGTCTCCTTTAAAAAGCCTAACAAAAACCAGACGGGCCAGACACCGTTTAACTTGGCCGGACACGCAACCAAAAAGCCTGACTGTGTCCGGCTTTATCCGGACGCCTGGCAAAGCTAGCCACTGCCTTCTACGCCCACTTTGATAATATCGAAATGAGACGGATCGCACGAAATAAATTAATAGAGTGCGGGCAAGATAACTCTGCGCGCGGCCAAAATTGGAACTAATCGTGTGCCGCCATCTTACTGTTTATGGCAAGTGTCTAAACAGAGTGGTAGGTGTCCTGTTTTTATTCTTTTTTTGCAGTAATTAATCGTTATCATTATGCCGAAAGTGATTAAAAGTGCTGGCAGGGATGTTATTTTGAAGGTCAAACGTGCTTGTGAAGAAGAACGAGACAATAACGGGCCTATAGTACCGTTTTCCAAAGTTAGAGCCCGCGTTGCATATTTAACAGGTAATTTTTAGGGATGCCATTACAATAAAATTCCCCAATTTTCTCTATTTGTTCCTTTTTAGTTTCATTGTGTCATTAATATGTATTTATAATGCATTGTTTTTATTTTGTTTTAGGTGTTTCTGAACGCACCGTCACCCAGATAAGTCAAGAGGGTAATATAGCAGAAGCTTCATCTTCTAAAATTGTGACGCCGGGAAAAACTAGGAACCGAAGGAAAAAAATTTATGATTTAGACGATTTCGATATGTGCGCTATAAGGCATTTAATTCAATCATTTTACGTCGTGAAGAAGGAGATTCCTACCATAAATAAACTTTGGTTGGAATTGAAAACTGATATTGGTTTTAAATATGGCAGAACATCGTTGAGGAGTATTTTAAAGACTATGGGCTACAAATACAAAAAGGTGCCAGTCTAAACGAAAAGTATTGGTAGAACGCAGTGATATTGCAGCTTGGAGAGCAAAATATATTCTGAGGTTGCGCAAGAATCGTCAGGAAGAAAATCGACCGATAATTTATGTTGACGAAACGTATATACATGCTTCATACCACCTTCAAAAATGTTGGCAATCGAAGGAATAGCCTGGTACTCTTACTTATGATAGCGTCGGTGCAAGATGGATAATGGCTCATGGTGGAGGTTGAACTGGGTTTGTTAAAAACGGACTGCTACTTTACAGGCTTAAATCCAAATCAAGTGACTATCATGACGATATGAATTCCGCTAACTTCGTGTGGTGGATGAAAGAAAAAATTGTGCCGAATCTTCCAACGAATTGCATTGTAGTGATGGATAATGCGTCATACCACTACACACAGATCAACAAGGCGCCTACAATTGGCAATACAAAAGCAGAGCTCCAAGGATGGCTTACGAGAAATGGTATTACATTTGAAGACTGTTGGACAAAAGCGCAATTATACGAATTAATTAAAAAATACAAAGGAGACCCACAGTACGAAATAGATCAAATGCTAAATGAATATGGACATGAGGTTCTCCGTTTGCCGCCTTACCACTGCGATTTAAATCCCATAGAAAAAATTTGGGCAATAGTAAAGAGACGCATTGCAGAGAAAAATACACTCAAGCTCCTAGCGAAATAGCTGCTATTACTGAGGCGGCGTTTAGGACAGTAACGACAGAAGAATGGTTCAACGTATGCCAACATGTAGAAAAAATAGAAAATAAATATTTCCAATCAGATAGGCTGATGGATATGGAAATGGATGAATTTGTAATTAATGTTACAGGTGACACATCCGAGTCATCTGATGAAGACTCTAGCATGGATTCTGATGAAGATATGCGAATGGAAGGCGTTGATCTACTGCAGGACCATTGTTACACCAAATTTATAAATAATAATAGGTATTCAATAAAAGATTTACAAGGTTTCCTTGGACTTTTTATTTCGTTCTTTATAATAAATATTATAATGCTATTTCAGTTGTTTCAAAATACCTTTTTTGGAAAAATTTATTATAGACAAAATATCAGTAGTCATTAATCTTAGTATTAGTCCTTTTTATACACGCATATAATAGGTACCTGTAATTGTGTAAAAAAAATTGTAGTGGCGTAGTTAAACTTGTGTAGTGAGGTATCAACCTTATGAAAGTTAGAATCAAGAAATATATTTATTACGCGGATCTTAAACAATAAATATGGGGTTTAAAAAATTATTAGGTCTTTGTAAGTTTAGGCTGAACATTACAGTTTTTTTAATTGAGATTTGGTAATCAATTAGGTAATTTATGTAATTTGATATAATTATACAATTCCAGTAATAAGATTAAACGAAGGAAAAAATATTAGTTAAGCTGGCAACATTAAGCACGCCATCAGTCGCGCGCAGAGTTATCTTGCGCGCACTATACAAGTCCAACCTCAACGAGCGCTCGCGCTCTATTGCACAGATAACTATATACAAGTCGGAGACTCTATTGCAAAGAGTATATATAATAGTATATAATATATACAGAAATACTCTATTGAACGCAGAGGGCCGGCGCAGTGAAATATATAGTACTTTTATTTAGTTAATTGAAAAATATCAGTAACGATTTGAAAATTAAAAATCATGGTAAAGTTTAAGCAAATGTTGATGAATGGTATAAATTTTACATAATGATTTCTTGTATTTACGCGAATACTAAACAATTAAATAATACTAGTTTTTAGTTTAGATTAGTGGGTGCTATGAAGCGTAAAACGTCGGGTATTTAAAAAGTTAAATATACGCGATAAAATCCGTAGAAACTAGTATTATTTAAATTTTAAGTCAAAATGATGTTGAACTTTGGAGATATTGGGGCTTGTATGTAGATTGCTGTGCAGTGCTGGAGAGCCATTCTCATCTCGCTCAGACTGACGTCCGGGATATTATCGGAATAGTGTCGGATACGACTTGCTCTTGGATCGTTACTCACATTTGCGTGTGGCTCAAACGATGATGTATACAGCTGCCCATAGAATCTCTCAATCTCACTCAAAATCTCAGGTGTCCCGGAAACGATGCTGCCACACTCAGTCTTCAGCTTTGACAGTTGGCACTTTCTGGCAGACAAATCTCTGACAAAGACTTTGGAGCCTTGGTTCTGCTCGATCGCATCTTCAACACGAGCTGTATTGAAGTTGCGTATGCCGCAATGCATACGCATTTGCACGCCGCATGCATTTGGAGATCTGTCTGTTCAGTTGCCTATATGCTGTCAAATCTGTTGAAGACTGCAGCTTCATCTTCCGTCTAACAGCCATGAGATTAAGAGTGTGATCGGAGAGTTTTTGTGTTCTTCTCCGGTGGGTCTTGCAGAACTTAGCTCCGACCGCATGGACAGTTTCCACGAGCTTGCCATTCCTATCGTCCACTGCATTGCAATCTTCTAGGCACTGAAAACGGTTTTGTAACTCGAGCTGAAAGGTTTCGGAACTTTGGATCAGAGCACGAGGGACTTAGGGCGCTTTGACTTCATTAGACGAGACCTTCCAACTTAACGTTTAAGTTGAGTGTGCCTCTCAGTCATTTTTAATAGCCTTACGGGTCAAATGTGACAGGCCTTATTACTCAGATACAACAGCTTAGCAGCTCTGAGGCTTAAGTATTAAGCAACGTAATGGCTTATTTATTCTATGTTTTAGCCTATGTTATTATCTATGCTTAGTATTAATGCTTAATAGTATGCAAAATTGACACTCTACACTGTGCAGTCACTTTCTTTAATGCAATATAATTTATTGCCTTTAGAATAAATGGATAATTTTCAGATGGTGGTGGTAACATGTACTACAATTGGGGAGTTGTACGATGATACGTCGGAACATGGTGATAATGGAGTACTAGAAAGACTTAAGCAGTTAGTGAAGAACAATTTCCCAGAGGGTTGATGTTGCAAGGCTATCCAAAGAAGATACTGTTGGTACAAATCCGGACCCACAAGTTCTGAATAAGTTAAGATATGATCTCCCCACGATTGTAATTGCAACGGACTTTAACCCAGAAGCTACCTTTTTATCAGAAAGGCCGTATCGTGATTATAAAGCAAAAATGCTGGATTGGGCGTTTTGTAGAGTGCTAATCATTTCACCTTCAGCATTAGTTAACTTATTTAGAGGCTCTGCAACTCAAACAATGATTTTTAACGCAGTAATACTATGAATAGTTTACATTCTATGTTGGTATCGAGACAAGAAGCCTCGAAAAAATAAAAAAAATTAGCTACATCGCTATCTAGTGATGAAGAAAATAATTATCCTAGAAAAAGAAGAAGGGCTTATTTATAATATTCTAATTCAGATAACTCATATACATGATATGTGAATCATCCTTACCAAAGAAGAAGTCAAGAGTTGATCTTCTAGAGGATAAAGTAATGTCAATTTTTGAGTCTCTATCATCACAAATAAATCAACTAAGAGCTGTATCTATTGATAGCAGAAAGAAAAACAGAAAAGAAGTTCAATCGTCTATTCCGAGGGCTGATCCTCAGATAGAAGAGCAAGGATATTCATGTCAAAAAATGAACTCAAATTCTTGGAATAATTCCAATTCTGCCGCTCCAGTTTTTATTGCTTTAGAAGTAAATCCTCAACTGGCAGGTCTTGTCAATTTAACTTCTCATAGTCAAAAAATATTGGCCAGAACGGATACTGCCTTAAGCACTATCACTCATGGCATCTTGAAAGAAAGGGATTGAAAAGAGAAAGATTGAAGCAGCATTAAATGAGATCGAGAAAAAGTATCCGGAAGCGGTTTCTGTTTTGAAACAATCTCTTTTTGCTAAATCAGATTCTTTTAAACAGACATCGGATGATTTATTACATTATACATGTGCACGTAGATCAGAAATGTTCGAAAATCGTCTAAGAATTTTTAAACATAGATCGGAATTCTTAGCGACTGGATTGAAATATATCCCACCGTCACTCACACATTTATTCGACGTGCAAAAATTATCTGAACTAATCAAAAGAGAAGGAGATTCCTTTCGAGTATTTAATTCAAGGTTCAAGACGCCGTTTCAGGAAAACCAACAACAATACAATAAAGCAAAGTTTCGACATCGGTCCTCGACAAATACATCAAGCACTCAACGGAACTCAAACAAGACTCCAAAGAAGTCATCTGAAAAGCGAACCCAAAATTCTTTTAAAAGAGGAAAATTTAGTGGTCAGCGGGATTGACTCGCACTTTTAGGAAGTCGACTGAAGGATTTTCGACATCAATGGAAATAACTAAATCCACCTCCTCACATCCTACGGATAAGACGGAGGTATATTATCCATTTCATCATGCGACCTCCGATCATACCGTTTTCAAAGCACAACATAAGAAGATTTTCAGTGAAAGAGTCCCCACCACTGCAACAGGAAATACAAAATATGATAAGATTGGGTCATCATCATCATCATTACAGCCCTTCACAAGTCCACTGCTGAACATAGGCCTCCCCCAAGTAACGCCACAAAGCACGGTCCTGAGCCACCTGCATCCATCGACTTCCTGCATGTCCTACGAGGTCGTCACTCCATCTAGTGGGGGGTCGCCCTACACTACGCCTACCGGTACGAGGCTGCCACTCGAGAACCTTTCTTCCCCATCGGTTATCGGTTCTTCGAGCTATATGGCCGGCCCATTGCCACTTCAGCTTACTAATCCGTTGGGCTATGTCGGTCACTCTGGTTTTACTGCGGATATCCTCATTTCTGAGTCTATCACGCAGAGAAACTCCGAACATAGCCCTCTCCATAGCTCGCTGAGCGACCTTAAGCGTCCTCATACGGCCAGCAGTGAAGGACCACGTCTCAGATCCGTAAGTCATCACTGGCAACACGCACTGGTTGTACAATCTAGTTTTTAGAGATTGAGGTATACCTGACGAAAAGATATGCCGTAATTTCCCGAACGCTGCCCAGCCGAGTTGAATCCGTCGATTGACCTCTCGGTCGAAGTTGGACTTACCTAGTCGGACTATTTGTCCCAGGTAAACGTATTCGTCAACAACTTCGAGCATAGTGCTCCCAACAACTACCGGCATAGGTGTGACATGGACATTGAACATGATCTTTGTTTTGTCCATGTTCATCTTAAGACCTATCCGTTGGGAGGCACTATTGAGGTCATTGAGCATAGTGCTTAAGTCCTCCAGCGATTCTGCCATAAGGACTATATCGTCGGCAAATCGAAGGTGAGTGATGTACTCGCCATTGATGTCAATACCGTATCCTTTCCAGTCCAGTAGCTTGAAAACGTCTTCCAATGCAGCGGTGAAGAGTTTCGGGGATATAACGTCACCCTGTCTTACACCTCTCTGCAGTTGGATAGGTTTCGAGCTCTGGTTCTGTACTCGGATAGCCATCGTAGCCCTACTGTACAAACACTTCAGCACTTCGATATACCGACAGTCAACTTGGCACCGCTGAAGGGACTGTAGCACCGCCCAAATTTCGACGGAATCAAAGGCTTTCTCATAGTCCACATACGCCAGGCAAAGTGGCAGATTGTACTCTTCAGTCTTCTGTACAATCTGCCGCAGGGTATGTATGTGGTCTATGGTACTGAAGCCTTTTCGGAAACCGGCTTGTTCGGGAGGCTGGAAGTCGTCAAGTCTGCGTGCGAGACGATTCGTAATGACTCTCGAAAACAGCACGTAGACGCGGCTCAGAAGGGAAATCGGTCTGTAGTTCTTTAAGAGAGCGTTGTCGCCTTTCTTAAAGAACAAGACCACCGCACTTCTGCTCCACGCCTCTGGAGTAGTGCCACCATGGAGAACGGAATTGAAGAGCTTCTGAAGGACTTCAAGTACCGGTGTTCCATCCGCTTTCAGAAGCTCCGCTGTAATTCCATCCTCGCCTGGGGCCCTGCCGTTTTTAAGGTGCTGGAGAGCCATTCTAATCTCGCTTAGACTGACGTCCGGGATATCATCGGAATAGTGTCGGATAAGACTTGCTCTTGGATCGTTACTCACACTTGCGTGTGGCTCCAACGATGATGTGTACAGCTGCCCATAGAACCTCGCAATCTCACTCAAAATCTCAGGTGTCCCGGAAACGATGTTGCCACACTCAGTCTTCAGCCTTGACAGTTGGCTCTTTCTGGCAGACAGATCTCTGGCAAAGACTTTGGAGCCCTGGTTCCGCTCGATCGCTTCTTTAATACGAGAAGTATTAAAGTTGCGTAAGTCTCGCCGTATGCATTTGGAGATCTGTCTGTTCAGTTGCCTGTATGCTGTCAAATCTGTTGACGATTGCAGCCTCATCTCCCGTCTAACAGCCATGAGATTAAGAGTGTGATCGGAGAGTTTTTGTGTTCTTCTGCGGCGGGTCTTGCAGAACTTAGCTCCGACCGCATGGACAGTTTCCACGAGCTTGTCGTTCATATCGTCCACTGCATTGCAATCTTCTAGGCACTGGAAGCGGTTACGTAACTCGAGCTGAAAGGTTTCGGGATTCTGGATTAGAGCACGAGGGGGACGGAGCGTTGACTTCATTAGACGAGACCTCTCCAACTTAACGTTTAGGTTCAGTGTGCCTCTAACCATTCGGTGATCGCTGCCAGTTTTCACCCTTGCGATCACTGAGACATCACTGAACAGTTGGCGTCTGTTTGTCATAATGAAGTCAATCTCATTTTTTTGTCGAACCGTCGGGGCTCGACCAGGTCCACTTCCTGTGGGGCCGCTTCTGGAAGAAAGAGTTCATCATAAAGAGTCCCTCTTTCTCCATAAAGTCGGCCAGCTGCTGGCCCCTTCGGTTCCGTTGCCCTACTCCAAATTTCCCTACCTTCAGCTCACCGCTTTCTCTTGTGCCCAGTTTTGCGTTGAAGTCTCCCATCAACACCGTGTAGTAGGTTTTGGAGGAATGTATGGCTCTGGAAATATCCTCATACATTTCCTCCACCTCCTCATCGGGATGTGCCGAGGTTGGTGCGTAAACCTGAATGACCTTCAGCGAATACCGTTTGGTGATTCTGAGTATCAGGTACGCGACCCTCGTCGACACACTCCCAATCTTTACAACGTTGTTGACGAGAGATTTGTGGACGATAAATCCGACACCTCCTTGGGACAGATGGTCGCCCTCCCGGTGATAGAACAAGTTGCCGGACTCGAGGATTGCCGTGTCCTCCCCCTCTCTTCGGACCTCGGATAATCCAATAATATGCCAGCGCAACTTGTCTACCTCTTCTTCCAGCTCCAGTATCTTCTCGTCAGTCCTCAGGGTGCGTGCGTTATATGTTGCCAGGTCGAGTCGTCGTAGGTGGCAACCGAACCTCCACCGGAGATTCTTAGCACCCCCTGCCCCGCCGTTACCATGGTCGCCACCGTAGCCAGGAATAGCGGGGCCGCCGGGGACTGGGGGCCGTCTGTTTGTGTATTTATTCATTGGGGGGTATTTTCCATAGTTGCCACGCTTGGCGAGCGGGTTGGCAACCGCAGTTTTTTATTACGTCACAGTTGTCATCAGGAAGACGCTGCTGCCCATCTCCTGCCTGTCTCCCTCTGTCGCCTCTTACGACACCCACGGGAAGATACGGGGTAGTGGATATTCTTAACCGCCACTACACGGCAAGATAAGATTGGGTGTTATAGAAAAAACAACAGTAACGACCGGGTTCTTATCTCAAATGTTTCTCGTAAGGAAATCCAAAAAAATACACCATGCAACCTGTTTTCAACCTCAAACAGTTAAACATGTTTTTGAAACCCAAAAATTTCAGTTTAATAAAGCAAAACGGTGTCCCGAATTTTCTGTAGGAGCTAGATTACATATCAAAAGTAGACCTTTCAAAGGCATATTGGCATGTACCGATCAAAAGGCATCATCGCCGATTTCTAGCTTTTGTTTACCAAAAACAGATTTATCAACGAACGTGTCTACCTTTTGGACTGGCAAGCGCTCCTTTCGCCAGCTCCTTTTTGCCATGATCACGAATTGGATAGCAAGTCATTTACGAAAAAAAGGCACTCGGGTAATAGTGTATTTGGACGACTTTATCAACCTAAGTTGAGTAATAAACTTCCAAACATCTATTCTTTTTCCCACAAAGAAGTTAAAATTTCTGGGAATCTTGGGACACCGCAATAAATCGAAAGTCTCTTCCCGAAAGAAATTAAACAGAATCCTTAAGGATCTCGACCGAGTCATAAATTCCAAATTCTGGAATTGGAAAATAGGTACTTCGCAGATAGGGAGATTGACGTTTGCTGCCTTCGTACAAAGAGCAAGTCAACTTCTTCCCGAGAAGCGCCTCGACTACGAATGTTTATACCTCTAACAGCTTTAGAGGAGTATATTTGGTGGAGAAGGAGCGCCAGAGAATCAGATGCAATATTTATAAAACATCCTACAACTCTGATAACGACAGATGCTTCAGATACGGGTTGGGGGCTCAAATCAGAGATATATGTATTTCCGGGCCTTGGGAAAAGTCCCAAAGGTATTGGCATGTCAATATGAAGGAGTTGTACACGATTTGGATAGTTCTCAACAAGTTCAGACACGAATTAAAAGATCGAACGGTTATGATCCAATCGGACAACAAAACTGTTGTGGCCTATATCCGAAAACAAGGAGGAACTAAATCTTTTATATTAATAGAGGCAACAAAAAAGTTGTTGACAATGGCGAGAGAATTACGAATTCAGATCCATCCGTTCTACATACCCAGAAGATACAATTGTATTGCCGATTGAAT